CTTAATAACATGAAATTTTGATATGCGATTTGAAATAAATGTATTTAAATTTTAAAATATTTTTTAAAATAATTATATTCAAGGATATTGTTTACTAACATTTACATATTAAGATTATTATAAAATAATTAGAAATGGAATACCATTAAAATAATAATTACAAGAAAGGCTGAGAATAAAACAAGGTCCTTTTTATGATTAATGTCAAAAAAATAATCTTAACATGCCTTTTTTTTTCTGGTAACGTGTCTTTGATCACAATTTTTTTTCCCCTATTATAATGGGTAAATAAAATTTAAATATTTTCACTGAAAGTCCTTAAAAAAAAATTCTCCAAAAGGAATTAAGAATCAAAAGGGATCATGTTTAACCCTCTTCATTTTCTTGTTAAATCTTGTCATTTATGTTTGGTAACTACATAAAAATAAGATAGAATTAGGCAACTCATAATAAATTTATCCTATCTAAATAATAATTGAATTTTATCTCTTATTTGATTCAACTTAACTCAATCCAAATAATAAACCAAACCATATTTTTACCCCTGATTCCTGCCACCAAAGTCGTCAGAACGTGACTCCCATATTGCATGAAAGCTCCTTCTCTTTGCAAATTGATCGGAAGCAAACAAATCGGACAGTGGACGATGGGAAAGCTAACAATAAGACGTTGCTGCAGGGCTGTCAAAATGAGCAATGGCCCTACAAATGGGCAGGGTTGGGATAGACTTAGTGAAATGCAATCTCAAATTTGGTTTGGCCTGCACGAAAATAGATAGCCCAAAATGGAGGCCACGATGGCCCGAGGGCCCCGAGCTACTTCATTAGCTTGAAAATATTAATAAATTTGAATATCATCTTCCCTTCTCAAATTTTTTTTGACACATTTTAATTTTGATAAATTATAATAATAATAATATTTTAAAAGTTATTTTAATAAATAGTATATTATTATATTTTAAAAAATAAAAATAAAATTTAATAAAAATATTTTATAATCAACTTATATTATATTATATGAATTATACATCAAAATAATAAATAAAATATGAGTTCAGTTGTATTTATATAAATTCAAATCATTAAACTAAATCCCAGTTCACTTTATTTACATTTTTTCGTAATCTTCTATTGAGCACTATAAAAGTAATAAAAAAAATGAAGAATAAAATTATAAAATTTTATACCATCCAAAATTAAATTAAAACTTACAAGAAGTTACAAATACCTCATTATTCTATTTTTTTGTTTTCAAGTTATTTAGACTAATTAAATTATAAATTTTTATATTATCATAACTTTTTGTTTCAAATTATAAACAATAATTTCGACCCAATCTATAGCTCATATACGGCCGAGTTTGAGATAGTTAAATGCTTGCCTTAAATTTTTTCGAGCCAAATTTGACCTAACTCAAAATCCGTTTGATTTGAATGAGCCAACCCGAATGGGGCCAAGCTGGCCTGAATTGCTAGCCCTACGTGCCTATGCTTCGTCCTTGGATTTCTGTGAAAACTTATTCGGATTTCTACGACTTCGTTGTTGGATTTATAGGTCTCGGACAATTCAGTCGAACTTGCTCCTAATAAAAGCCTCGAGCCTTGCACGAAGCCCTTTGATTCTCGCATAACAATGCGTCGTCAAGAAAGGAAAGAAGGAAGGAGTGTGCGAGTTGCAACCAGCAACTGTAGATTGGGAAGGGGGAACTTTAGAGCTTTCAAATTGCAAATCGATCGGAAGCAGCAGAAGGGACCACTAGACATGGCTTGCCTTGATTGATTGGAAGCGAAAGGGACGATGGGCCTAGCCTGCACAAGAATGACCTGAAGTACTGGACAACTGCAACTAGAAGGCATGACCAACGATGACTCTAGCAAAAGAAGTAAGAAGAGAACAGGGAAAGGAAGAAAGAAACAAGAGCAACATTATCCAAAATAAAATTAAAATATATATATAAACACGCACACACTATACATGGTTAATGGTTTTATCTCACACCCCCCTTGTGAAAAAGTCATCCAAATGTGGTAAGATAGAGTAGAATAAAAGAGTTGCCCAAATTTTTTATCTGATTTTTTAATCAAGGGAACTGAACATGAAAGAAGGAAAGCTAAACAGGACAACTAACGGGCCTTTCCCCCCCTCTCTCTTCCAATCGTATAGAAACATGTTAGAATTGAACGGTTATCTAAATCCTCTTATATTAGATTAAAAAATTTAAATCACATATTTTATAAATGATTTTGTTTTTCAGTCCTCTCAAACTCTTTTATCATTTCACACCGCTTTAATTAGCGCTTAAATATGAAGGAGATGGTAATCTTACCATCCATACATAATAATCTTACCATCTCCTTTATTTTTAAGCACTAAATCGCTCTTATCCAAACTCACTCTTAAAAACTGTTACAATGAAATGATTTCTAAATATTTTATTATTTTTTATCCAAATTTAGTTTGCATTTTTAAATATTTTTTTATTTTTTTATCCAACTTTAATTTGTGTTTTATACCTACGATACTAAGGTTGCAACAAAAATTACTTTATTTGTTGGCGATAGTGCTGGCCGATCAAGAGTTAAAATACCGGAATTAAGATGGTTTCTAATAATCCCCAAAACTTTACTTACATTTCACTATTTACAGAATGATTTTTCTCGGATCAGGGGTTCTCTCAAATGGGTCATTCGAGATCAAGGACACTATTTAGCCACGGCGTTATCACTCAAACATTTGAGAACTCAGAAATTTTAGATTTGATTAAAAAATTAAAATTTTCCATAAAAAGAAAATGTTTAGATTTTCTCTTAAGACTTCTTTTCATACATTGAATTTGGCACGAGTAACTTAGTATTAGCATTTGATTAAAACTTTTAAAAGCTATAACTCATAACCCAGAACATTTTCTAAAACTTCTAACCCTAAGTCCAAAACTGCTAAGGAGACCACTTCCAAGCGCCAAGGCCACTTTCGGCCAATGATTTTTTTTTTTCCCCTTAAAATAATCCATCTGATATATGAGGCAAACCTCTGAGGCGTACAACTTTTGCGCCTTTCAATCTACCAGATCAAGTCACTTTCCGTCAGCTTTACAAGCGCAGAGACAAGTCGCACTTACTGCATGCATTTTTTTTTAATATATATTTTGGATTCCAACGGGAAGTATGGGCATGCAATATTACATTGCATCCCAGGGTCATTCAAGGCAAGTTGATCTAAAATTTTGAGTATATCAGTTCAACTTTTCAGTCAAGAAGGCATGGTTCTAGAAATTCTCAGTTTGTAGCATCACTTTATTATAATTTTAAAGAATTTAAAAAATATAATATCCTTTCATCTTAACTTTCTTTCTTGTGATAACAAGTCAAAAACATAAACAAAAAAACCAAAAAACAAACTATGGTTATTTTATGTGCCATAGGCCTTTAACCCTAGCTAAAAATCACCCATGGAAGAAAGCTAAACTGGAACTAAGGTTGAAACATCAAAATTTTCATCTTACGAAAGTAGCAACAAAACTAGCTAATCCCTCTCTCTTTTGTAATATTAAATGTAAAGCTAGTGTCTGATATGCAGAGGTTCACTTTAATCTCCATTCACTTTGTTATCTCATATTATGCAGGTTGTTAGGAGAAGAGTACGTTAAAAGAGTTCTGTGTTATACCATAAAGGAACCAGAACCACAATTTAATTCTTAACATAAAATGCATCAGCAACTAGAAGTTTACTAAATAAAATAATAGCTTGGCGCCCTCTTGTAATACCAAATGTAGAGCTAATGTTTGATATGCGGAAGATTCACTTAAATCTCCATTCACATTGTTATCTCATATTATGCAGGTTGTCAGGCGAAGAGATTAGGAGTTTCTGTGATTTACCATAAAAGAACGGAACCACATATAATTCTCAACATATATGCAACAGCAACTGGAAGTTTCACCGAATGAAATAGGTCTTCAATTGATAGAAAGCTCGTGAAGTTACTAAATTAAAGGAGGTAATCAGACAGGTCGAGTAAAAGATATACAACGCAAGTAGGAAAGGAAAGCCCACCTCAATTATCAGTAAAATGGGCCATAAAAATTGTCCATTACGGCAAATTGCGTGGTATCTGAAGGTCTCCAGTGACGTTTCCGCTGGTTTATGAACCAGTTGTTTATTTTTTCTGGTCAAGGCCAGTTGATTCAGCAAGAGCAACCTTGTCAGCTTCCTGCATGATAAATAATAGAAATCAAAGATTCAAACAGCCACAGCTTGACTTTTTATTTAACCTTGTAACACCCAAGTACTCCTGGGTAGTGAATAAATACTTTCATGCAACAGATGTAGCAAAATAGCAACAACCAAACTGGAAGTTCCATGATCTATTCATTGAAAAACAAAGCATTATTTTAACTGAAATATATAAATGAATGCAGCTTAATTCTTTCAGATTCCCCACAGTATTCAGTACCATTTATGCATGCTTGTTTCCTCTTCTTTCTAGAAGTTCCGTAATTGATAATAAAAAATGCTTCATATGCTAAGACTGATAATTACAGCCAAATATAGAAATTATTCACACAAAACATTTTCTTAACATATTATATTTTTCCACTTAATTAAGAAACCCTCCCAACCTGCATCTATTCAACCACCCAATTTCAATCTTTCCATTTCTTTAAAAGGTGAACAAAGACCATGTGTTTAATTTTTTTTGTAGACATATTAAATACAAAACAAATAACTTTACATCTCTGGCTGGAAGGAATTGAAAGAAATTTCTACCGTAGGGTATGGCCATTGTAATGAACTGTCCACCAATTGAGCAGAATTTGCCTTGCTTCTCGAGTAGCTTCCCCCCTTCTTCTTTCTAGAAAATTCATGCTTTAATGAACTAATATAACCACTATATTTGCGCAAGAGTTTATCCTTAAGCTCTCGATCTTCGCCCGGGTGGTTATGCTCTTGAACTGGCATCTCTCCTGCACTTAAGTCATCCTCAGATGACCCTGCGGTTTCATCTGGTCACAATGAAACAGAAAAATTTGACTTCCAACAGCCAAATGAGTGTCAACTTAGCTAGAAGTATCAGGGAAAGTTCCTCAAGCAAAGTTAAAAACATATGATTATGGTCAAAACTAATAACACTGGCTCAAAATGGAAAGCATGCTATCAAAAAATGACTACTATATAATTGCCAAAAAATTATCAGCAAATGCTACCTCAAAATATTGTGGGAATTATTTATCCACACTTGCATTTGCCATGGAGAATATAATGCCAAAGCAAATTATTTTACAAAATAAAGTTCATAAAATTCATAATATAAAATGATGAATCCATTTCTCAAATTCAGTCAACAGGAAAACTGATTGCAATTTTGTGGCACCAAATAAATCAAGTTCATTTCAGCTTCTCAATGATGCACCGGTCAATCATGCATGAAGAAATACTCTATTAATGAAATGCTCAACAATCAATCAACCTCACTGTGATCATGTAATTAAACTCAAAAAATCCACACTTCAGAAACCAAGTTGCAAGCCACAGTTATCAAATAAAAAATAATTGAAGAAAGCTGTGCTCCACTTGTGAAATTGTACAAAAAATGAAGCTTCATTATATAGTCTATGGTTCTTAAACATCACCTTTAAACTACTCAGTTGCAAAGACAAACATGAAGTCTGTTCCTGTTTTGTAGCAACATATTAGACTTGAGGAAACCAATCCCTACGAGTGTTTGTAGTCTCTCTCTCTCTCTCTCTCACACACACACACGCGCACCCGCACCGCATGCAGAGGAATAACTAGCAAAATCAAACTCCTATTATGCAATGTTTCTGTGCATCACAAAGTAACAGTGACACTGCACGCTGCGAACAAAATAGGAAGTTCACAAAACTCAATGTAACAGGAATTGGAAATTATAGTTGTTTTTGAATGAAAATTTTACAGACTTCAGCACAGAAAACAAACTCCCAAGCTATATCCATTGGATCTTCTTCTTGTTTGTCCCTAGAATGAGGAAAGGTGGAGAAAATGTTTCAATGAGGCATTTATTCCCATTGTCTATCTTTCTCTCTTTCTTTCTTTTGTCTTCGGAGCAAATAGTGGAGAGATTTCCAATTAAAGAACAAGGGGGTTTTAACCCAAGAAAATCAGAGGCTACTGCTTGACTTCATTCACATCATATGCTTAAAGGTAATAAATAACTTAAAGAAATGCACTGATTTTAGCACTAAGTTACCAGAGAACATTAGAAACTAAAGTAACCAAACATGACCATTAGTTCTACACTCTTGAAAATTTCTGTCTCATCCATTTACCCAAAAGTAAGGCTTTTCGTTTAAAGTTCACCATAAATTGTCTCAACTACAGAAAACGTACCACCCTGCACCCACGTCCAATTAATAAAGGATATTGGGGCAAACATGAGGGAAAGGCAAGCAGAACGACGGCAGCAAACTTTGAATAACGCAACAACCTTCCTCTTTCCAATCTTCAAAAAAAGGAAAGAGGACAGTCACAAGTGCACAGGGCAAAAAGGGAGATCATACACCCCACTTTGTTCACTATTCTGTAGCAAGTGACCTCAGCAGCTCCACAAATTTTCCTAACCAAAATATCCTAGAACAAGAGGACCTATACAAATTCAGTATTGCACTCATGCAATCCTTAGGCCATTAGTTTGAATGTAGAAAAAAAATCTCTTTTCTCATTGCTGACTATAATCAACCTAGCATTTGATCTGAGATGAAGGCAAACCCCACTTGTGACAACTAACCATTCTCAAAAGAACAAGCCAGTTCAAAAATGTTAAACACCCTGAGAGCCATCTTAAACAAGTTCTTCCACCTACAGTTTCACAAAGGTGTATCCATTCAACTCCAGCAGCAAAAGGAATGACCCAACACATCTGCTCACAGTGCCAAAGCTGCCTCAGTAATGGTAATGCAGGATGCCCATCTCTCTCCAGCTAGGAACCACTCAAGCTCAAATTTCTCTAATTCCCTTTCTATGTTTATCATACCTTAAGATTACTGTGTAACACAACTATGATTTTAGAGCTTCTCTTTGAAGATGAGCATCAATTTAATCCAAGTACAGCACTTACAATCCTAATCCCCCTCATTTACCTTCTGTTCTTATACACGTCAAACTTGAGCTGCTCAGCCAGCTCTTCTGATACCCATGATGCCAAATTTATATAGAGATGTGGCATATGGTCAACAAGCAGAAAACTCTTTAACACCTTTACCAATAAGTGCCACTAGGTTGAACATACAATTTACTAACAAAATAGGAGACACATGTGGTTTTTATTCTCATATTATGGTGACAAGTCGTGTTTAACCAAATCAAAGACAAATATTTTAATAGATGTAGTCCTTTGTACCATCCATTCAGTAAGACCCAACCAGAAATCTAGATACATTCCTGTCCATTAGATTCTGCTGCGAAAGAATTTAATTTAATGATACTTTCATTAAATAATAAATAACCTAGAGCTAAAAATCTGATTAAGATAAAGCATCAGTAAGTCAAGGACAGATCTTTCTGATGTTAAAATGCACCATCTAGTGCAATCATCCCATCCTAGACAAACCTACAAGTCTACAAATCCTTCATCTTTGTGAAACATAATTTGTGGATTATATCATCAATTGTGTCTAGTTATGTATAAAAATTAAGTCCACAAACTCGTACTACTACAACTATCATGTTGCTAGAAATTTATACACACAAATCAAACTATAAAGCACATGAAAAACAATCAAGGCCAACGAATAAGGTAAGCTATTCTCTTAGTCATAAGGAGTCCAAATAAAAATATTACTAGACAGGCAGGCACTGAATAATAACCAGAACCCCCCCCCCCCCAAAAAAAAAAAAAAAAAAAGCAAAGAAAGGGAGAAAGAATCCCCATAAGTAATTAACGGAATATATCTGCACTTGCATCTGGTTTACAGGAGTTACCATTCCCAGTAAAATTTACTTTTGGTCATCCAATACGGTACCCTGAACAGACAATACACATACACAGAAACATTATTTGAGCTTTCTATAACTAGCCTGAGGCTGAATGTCTGAATTAAGAATTATTCCTTTCATTTAAACTTCATTCTTTTAATGCATAAACCAATTAAATGCTTACTTTTTAGTTCCATAACAAAGGCTGTCATTCAAAAGCAATTGTCAGGACATCCAACAGTGGATCACAAAACAGCACATGAGAGAGCACTTTCTTCCATATTGGTGCTAAAAAAGATCATGAGATCAGACTATGTTCTAACCTCACATTTTCTACCCCTTACACCTATTACTAGATAAAAATTTAGCCGACAAATTCATGGAACAAGTACAATAGGATATGGTTGGATGAATTATTTTATTGGACGTATGCAGTAAAGTAAGATAAGAACAATCAAGCAAATAAGAAATTAGAAGGGAAGAGCTGGATGTCAAAGGAAGACCATAATATAAACACGCACCACCAACACATGCAAACAGAATATTTTTTGAATTAATATAGTGTAATCAACTTGGCCTTGCACGTGTCCTTTGCTGAACTTGTTTAGGAATCTATCTCGTTGATGATGAGGATGATTATGGAGAAAAGTGATTTACTTTCAGTTCAGGTCTAACTTTATACAGTTGAAAACCATATAGAAGAATTTCCAGTTAGTTTCTTTCTCTGACTAAAGCACACACATTTGATGTACTTTTTTTCCAGTTTGGCTATCAATTGATCCATAAATAAGAATCTTCCCCGGTATAATATATTTTGTTTCGCGGCCATCATACACACTACAACTGACAGCTTATGGAATTAAATTTCAACTCACAGTCCCAGAAATTTTAAAGTGAACTACCATGACAAAAATAAGAAAAATAAAAAATAGAAACATGTTAAGCAAAGCAGCCAATGACATCAAATGCTAAAAGGTTTTAGCATTGGTCCAGATGATTGCTTCTTCTCTCCAATGGTCACTGCACCATCATTACCCCAAATAAAAAAGAAAAGGAAAACTAAAAGGAGAAATGCAACAAGCTGGATATGCTCACTAGAAAATTACAGATTTCATCAAATATTGATCTTCAAAATAAACTGTCCAACCGCCAATTTTGTATTACAATATTCTTTATTAAAACTGGACTTCAACAACAATATAGCACTTTTTGTGAGACCAAAAACAACTTTATCAACAACAGGAAATAAGTGCAATGGTCTCTTATCATAACTAGTAGACTAGTAAGATTCAATGAATAAGAACAACATCTACTACTTGAGACACAAGCCAAAAATAGCTCTTTATTAATAGAACATGAACTTCACGCAATGGTCTTAAATCATAACTAGTAGAATAGTAAGAGCAAATAAAAAACATACTAGTTATATATCAAATCTAGAACTTACATATATATATATAATATATAACAGATGACAAAAAAAAAAAGAACGACAAAATAAAAATTGTCAAACACAATGTCAAATCAGTTTGAAGAACCAATAAGAAAAAAACAAAAAAAGGGAAAATTATAGTCTGAAGAACAAGAAAAAAAATAACATATAAAGAAACAAAGGTAAATTAAGTCAATGTCATACCGTAGGCAAAGATTTTACTGACACAGAGAAGCTATTTTTAGACCCATGTTAATCTAGGGTAATACATAACTCGAAACCTGTTAAAAGGTTAGTCCAGTCCATTTAATCAAAAATGTTTCAGTTAACAAAGTCCCTGTTAGACTTTTCCATTTCCGTTCTATCAGGATCACACTGTTGAAATATAGCTCACGTCGCCTCTAGACAGTGAAACGTCAAATCAAGCTACGATATGGTGAAAGAACTTTTCTATTTCCAGTTAACCAAGCCACATATATATAAATACATACATACACACAAAAAGAACAATGAACTGACAAGGTACGAAGAAAGAAAACTTTGAAACTACAGTATACACGGTCTAAAGTCTAGATGAACAAGTCCTCAAGGTGGACGTATTCGTAGATATTTATTTTTTCTGTATAGTATGAGAAAAACAAAGGTGTTATAGAGATGACGTAGTATTTCTACTTCTACTTTCTAACCAGTTATCTTCTGTCACCCAGAATACACGGATCCTTTTTCTGCGAATGGTTCATTTCATGTTAGGGTTTTCTTCTATCGTTTGTATGATATAAATGTTCATGATCCTCTATATTGTATTTGTTTTCACTTTTAAAAGTCGAAGCGCTAACATGCGCTCACAAATCCCTCCATGTGATGACATCTTTTATGCAATCCAATAACAACCACGATCTAGCACAAAAGCAGTTCAAGTACAAGCAAAAATATGGCATAGAATTCAGCTATATTGAGCCGGGAAGTTGAATCCCACATAAAGCACAAAATTCAAGAAACTGAATAAATAAACCATGAACATCTGGGAAAAGTACGCGAATATATAAATAAATATAAATGGGGAGAGAGAGAGAGAGAGAGAGAGCGAGACCGAAAACATAGCTTCTCGAGGTGCCGCTACAGAGACTGCTGAGCTGCGTCTCTATACTGTTTAGGAACGTGGTTGCTTCGTTGAACGGTTTCGCCAGATCAGACTTATACTTTGCCAATATATCGCAATAAGTTTCCTTCGAAGCATAAATGGAGAACAAAAAGCATGACAAGTCGGTTATGAGGAAGTTAGTTACAGTAACTTAAAAAGCATTTGTGCGAGAGAGAGACCATGAAGTCGTCAAGCTCAGGATCAGCGCCGAAGCAAGTTGAAACAGCCGATGAGCTACCGCACTGACTGTTTCCCGGCAGATTTCATCCAACAGATTGACGATCTCAGGAGGCGCTCCGACCTATTAAAAAAAATCAGGAAGGAAAAGTCGGATACCGAGTGAATTACTAGCAAATAGCATGCACTCATCAGATCGTCAAAATACGCACTAATTAAGGAAAGAGTCGAATAGATCCAAAACCAAAAGTTCACTCCATAGAAGTTAAACCTAATTGGCGCGTAGATATGAATAAAGATGTAAGACTGGAAAAAAGGAATGTCCACGAGTTTTCTGTTTCGATACTGTTTAGAAATTTAATGCTATGCAGGCCTGTTTTAGACGGGCCAAAGAGTAATTAATTGTTCCTAGAGACCAGAATCGGAAATCTTCATCAGAGATCAGAAGAGACACATACAATTCTGCTTTCGGTTTTTTGCACATAGCGCTAGACACAAGTAACGCAAACTGTCACGATCCGTTAACCATACACTGTGCCTACTTGAAAACGACCATCACGCATAGACCCAGATAGGAAGCATACATATACACGTGCTCACCCTCACACGCATATACACAGACATAAATAGAGGGAGGGAGAGAGAACGGGAGAGACGAAAAAGAGGCTCCGCAGCTCTGAACTGGTTTGATTTTTTCATCTCGCAGTACCTTCTGGCAATCGACGAAGGCCTCGAGCAATTTAGGATAAAGCGGGTGAGCAAGGATCTTTGCACGGATTGCACTGGACACCTCCTCCGAGCCGCTCCTCGGGATCTCCGACACCAGCGAAGCGGCGTCGGACACCGCCGAGGAGGAGGAGAAAATATGGTCAGAGCCGAACACCGTCGGAATCCGGTGGCAAAACGCCGGCGAGGCGAAGGCGTCGCAGCAGCTCAGCGGCGGCGACAGGAGGTTGTCCGGGGGCGGCATTGAAGCCGGATGGCAGTGATCGGAATAATCGGCGGCGGAGCCGAGACCGTACATCGAATCGTCCATTGCGGCCTAGAAGACGAGAGAGAGAGAGAGAGAGAGATGAGATTTGGTTTTGTGACGAATTATTGTGAGGTGTGGTGAGTGTGACAGAATCTGCAGCGTGAGGAGGGGGAGTGAGACAGCAGAACGGAGGGACCCTAATCCGAAGCAGGGAGGGAGTAAGAGGGAGTTCTTGAAGGGTGTGAATTTAGCGTACAAACAAGGAGAAGCTCAGTGTTTAACACTTGAGCCCAGTGAGCAAAAACCCCTGACTGGGGAGAGCCTATGCACTTTTCCCTCCCTGTTTTACGCGCTTCACTAGGCGTTGTTTTCACTCCCTTCATCACCTCCCTCAAGATTTCATACTTAACCTTTTCCTAACTTTTTTCTTTAAAAAATAAATATTTTAATTTACTAATTTGATTATTTAGGAAAAACAATTTGAAACATATCATTATGAAGTGATTGTTTAGCTTTGCTTCGCTTTTTTTGTTTTGTTTTGTAAAATTTTTCAAAGTGCTGGCTGTTTATTATAAAACTTTAAAAATTATCTATTTCACTAATAAAAAGCTTTAGTCTAGCTAAGTTTTTAAATTTATTTTCTGTATAATATACCCTTTAAAAACATCATTTTTGTAAATCTATTTGCAGGGTTATTACTTCTACAAAGATGTTGAAAAATAGTAATAAGTAAAAAAATGTTGAAAATTTAAAATTTTGGATGTTAATAAATTTTATTGAAAAAATAACAAAAGCTGATAAATGAATATTTATTAAAGTAGTTGTAATAATTATTTCTTATATTAAAATATTTAAATTATCCATTCATTTAAAAAACAATATATACGATCACATAATAAAATTTCTTAAATTGTAAATATAATTTTGAGTTATTAAGATAATAAATAAATAAATTATTAATATCATATTCCTAGTATGAAAAATAAAATTATGACTAATCCAAAATTTTTGAAATATTAAATTTATTGTCATTACAAGCTTAAGAATCGATGCATATATCTAAGTTTGTAAACCTATAGTTTGCTCGTAATGTGGGACAAAAACATTAAAGTGTAATTATCCCTTGTATTTTAATAAAGCAAGCAATAGAAAGTTTAGGCAAAAAAGTGTGAATGGATTACATTAATATTTTACAGTCAACTTGCATTATTTGCTTATTCTAAAAGTAACTTCTACTTTGAAAATATATACTTTAAGAATTTTTTTTCTAAAATAAAAAGATGATTCTTAAGAATTTTCTCATTCTTTTGTTATTTAACAAATCTAAAAGTAAGAACTAATAATTAAATGCAAAATTTTTATTTTTATTGTACTTGAAAACATGACTCAAATTTTATTCTAAAAAACATATATATTTTCTAATTCTCTAACAATACACATTATAACAATTTATAAGTTTTAAATAAAACATAACTTTTATTTTTGTATGATAAAAAATGAACCAAATAATGGTGATATAAATATACCTAAGTGCAAGTACCATTTATACTTCACAAAATAACAAATATAGGTCACAAAATTTCCTAATATCTTGTGTGACTTTAACATTATTAAACAAATGATTAGCATTACTCATAGTCAAGGGTCAATCTTTATAAGACCCAATTGGCATTTTAAGTGCCATCATAATAAAAATAACTACTTTGTAAAATTTTACTTATTTTTTTTTTATAACGACGTAACTCATTAGATTATATACTCTAATCTTCGTCAGATAAGCATTTTATATGTTAATATTAGACAACAAAAACTAATTTAAAAGCTAAAAACATCAATGAACCTGTTAATTGATGAAGCCAGCTCTTTTCTTGCTAATTTAGATAAACTTCTTTTTTTTTAATTTCAAGCACAAAATTTCCCTTAATTATTTCATGTTTACTTGATATTTCCCAAGGTTAATTCATATTTAATTTTGGTTTTTGTATAATATATATTTTTTACTTTAGAATAAAGAAATCATGCCAAATTCAAGTTAGAGGTGTTTGGTTGACCTTAAAAAATATAGATTTTTAAAATTATAAATTATTTAATTTAATATGAAAAAGCTAAAAATTTTAATGAAACAACTCAAAAAAATCAATTTTTTTGATAATACGGTGTTTATTAGCTTTGTTAGGCTCTTTTTGGTTTTTTATTTTTCTTTTAATGATAAAATGGAATACACGTACTGTAAAAAGAAATTGTCAAAATATTTATTTTTGTTTTATATTTATGTATAAATTTTTGAAATAATCAAATAAATTATAAATTTTTTATAATAATAATAAAAGTTAAAAATATTTTTCAACCAAACAACAATAAACATTTTTTTCCTGTGTATATTTACATATTTTTAACAATTTTGTGCTTAAAAAAATGGACCCCGTCAAATGATGCAGCCAAAAGGCAACGTGAGTGTCACGCGCAAAGGAGAACGTGGGATCGGAGTAATACTGGTACTCGAGAAGAATAAACAGGCAGCAAGTCGCCCAGTTCATTCGCTCTTCAGCTCAGGAGCGAGAGGTGACTGCTGACAATACCACACACGGGTCCTTTCTCTCCGGATGACGAAAATACCCTGCACCAATTTAATAATTACAATTTCTTTATTTGTATAGTTGCACCCGCATATTGAGATAAATGTGTCGTACGCACAGATTCGGAAGTCGGGTAGAGCCAATTTTACGAAGTAGATTTTATATATTAAAAGGCTGAATAGATTTACGAAGTAGATTTTATATTTAATGTTGCATAGTTTATTTAATTAAATTTAAATAAATTATATTGGAGTGAGTGTTAAAATAAATTTATTTAATTTTTTAATGATATTATTAATTTAATTATTTATAAATTAGATTATATATATATATGGATATATATATCAGCCATTATATATTATTGTTGACTCTCGTTGCTAATCACTTCCGGCCACCTTAGAATTGTCTCTCGGTCGCCACTGTCTAATGTTGTCCGCGGCCATCGTTAAAGAACAAAACAATCATTTTAATAATTTATATATTTATTTAATATTTTATTTAAATTAAATTTAAATATATTAAATAAAATATAATAATTTAAAATATTATATAATAAAAATATTTAATTTAAAAATTTTACTATTTTATCTTGCCTCACTTAACCACCTTAAATCCTAAGTTAGTCTTGGTGGGATCAATTTAAAATTAGCTCTGGTGAAATTGTTCTGTTTTAATATTTTCTATTAAATTCTATTTCATTTATTTGCAATAACTTTGTTTGACAACCAAAAAAAAATTTTGACACGTGGATCTTTTCATTTCATTAGTATTTTTACTTAAATAAAAAAATATTTTCTTTTGATTAAACTACTGAAAATCGACCATAACACCATATTTTATAAGAAATAAATTATGGAAAATAAAATTTATTTATGAGATTCATGTTAAAATGAAAGGTAAATAAAATTTATAATTAAAAAACTTATCACATATCTTGAACTTATAAAAATAAAGAATCACGTAAAGTGCGAGATTCTTTTATACAAACGAGATCCTACAAAAATTCTTTATTTTATTTTTTAATAAAAACAAATTAAACACTATAGAATACGAACATAATTTTTTTTTGAAAATTTTAAAGTTGGCTAGAGTTTACAAGCCCAAAAAAAAATATTGGTTTAAAGATGTTTTGTAACATAATTTTTTTATTATCAAAAATAAAAATTCTAAAAACATTTATGCTTAAAAGGAGTTAGACTTTTGAATGCAAATATTAGGTTTATAAATTTAATTTAATTTCTTTTTTTTCCCTTGTGCAAGCATCCAACATAGGCCTTTTTAACTACTTACTTTTCACTTGAAAAACAATTCAATGAATAAATATACAAAGTTTGCTCTATAATTTCATATAATTACCAAGGAAAGTTAAAAAGATCAAAACACATTCTTAAACCAAACACCCCTGTGCAGTAAGCATGTTAGAATTTTTCTCTATTTCCAAAGTATAATTCAATAAATTCAAGAGATTAATATAAGTTGGTCTACTGAAAAATATAGAAATTAGAAATTAAGCTATATAATTATGCCTTGCATATTTAATTTAGCTGATTTTAAGTTAGATGCAATTGGATCAACTTTTTAAAGTTTAAAATCTCACAATTAAAGGAAAAAATTTGGAATTACGACTTTAAATTGATATGTAGCAACTTCCAAACAAGTCTTATGAGGGACAACCCTAACACAAATTTCCTTTTTAAAAAAATAATAAATTCCAAGGAGCTCTCCACAAGGAAAAGGAAGATTACGATGTTGTTTGTTTTTTTCACTCAGAATTTAAGTTTTACAAGATTTAGACCTGGCTTGTTTAAAGAATGTAAAAGGAAAATCTACATTTCAAATAAACTCTATCTGGGGTACTTTAAAAAATTAAAAAGAAAAACTGTAGGGTTTGTTTGTTTTCCACTTAGAAGCTAACTTTTATAATTATAAGCTTTTGAACGTCACGTGCTATTTGTTTGAATAGAAAAAAAAATTTCTCAAGCCCTCTCTGTTCTATTTTTCACGTGGTTTTATTTTTATTTTTAATTTTTTTTATCCCAGTAACCAAACATTCAACATAAAATTACCAAGTTTTTTTCTTAAAGAATTAAACAAAACAACATTAGAAAAGTGCTTTTAAAATTTTTTGGGTGATATCGAAAAATCTAAAAACTCAAAAAATCTGCCAACCAAACAGCACCTAGATTTCAGGTGAAACGCGCCTGTTATGCACTCTTTTGCTAATGCAAAGGCTTCAATTAATTAATTAGTATAGTGGAAGAGGCCCTTTTTCTTATCATATTCTTGATCAATAAATAATTAGGGAATTTGATGTTGTTCAAACTCATAGTGGAATTCATCCTCCCACTTTAATAATCAGGAGAGGGAGAAAGTATATTTTAAGAGCGATCAGCGTGTGTTTACCTTCTTTGTAATCATTACTTCATTCTATAATTTTATTTATTAAATCTCTGTTCGCAGGTTATGTGTTCAAGCTTTATTTAAATG